ATAACTGGCCCCTTCCTTTGTCTTTCTCCCCATTCTTCGTTATGATGTTAAATAATCTAGAGGATCAGTTATCTCAGTTTACAGTATTGACTTCTAAACTTCTGTATTCTTTCGTAGTGAATCCTAGAACTGAAGATGCTCTTTTGATAATTACATTTTCAAACTTTTGATTATGATCTGTTTCTGTTGTGTGGTCTTTAACTTAATATGCAGGCAAAACAATTGAGACATGTTGGTTCAGATATAAAATTTGAGCTTGTATCATAGTGAAATTTATTGATTTCTGATTCTACAGGAAGCAGATGGATGGGGAGAGTCAGCCATTGCTCCAGCAGCAACAACAACAGCAGCAACAGGAGCTGGTTCCAGTGCAAGATAGTTACATGCAAAGCAGGGCTGAAGCTTTGCAAAATGTTGAGTCCACTATTCATGAGTTGAGCAATATTTTCAACCAGCTTGCGACCTTGGTTTCCCAGCAAGGGGAGGTTGCCATCAGGTTTTACTCTAATCCAGTATCTTCCTTTGAATTCAGTTGGCACACGGTGCTAAATGTTAATAATAGATCACTATTTTTTTTAGCGCCTAACATGCTTGGGGTTTTATTGTTACTGGTAAAGCATTGCACAAGCTGGGGAAAACTAAAAGCTGTGTTCAAACACAAGCAGGGCAAAACTAAAAGCTATGTTCAAACACAAGCAGGGCAAGAAGCTAATTATCTAATATTTAAGCTTCATTTGACCCCTTGAAATAATTATATATATAATTGAACAAACTTGAGTATAAAATTGTTTTTGACCATGGTGGTTCAAACAGTTTTACGATAAGATGGGTAGCTAAGCTTATCAACCAAATTTCTGTGCATTCAGTGTGATCCCGACATCTGCCCGTAGTTTTCGTTTGGTTCTAAGTTTTCTTGTCAGACAGCATATGTTTTGAAGTTTGTGGAAATTGTTAATCTTGAGGTTCTAGGGTCAAATCCCGTATCTCTGCGCTATGTGGTGTCTGTGCATCTGTAGGGTGTTTCGACTTGGATTTTCAAAAATTAAATCTGATGATGGTATTTCTTGTTGCAGAATTGATGAGAACATGGAAGACACATTAGCGAACGTAGAGGGCGCACAAGGGGCATTGCTCAAGTATCTGAATAGCATATCATCTAACAGGTGGCTGATGATCAAGATATTCTTTATACTAATATTTTTCCTCATGGTTTTCCTATTTTTTGTGGCATAGTCATTTGCAGAGAGAGAGAGAGAGAGAGAGAGAGAGGGTTGAAAAGGAAGTAAATGAGGATGATTTTTAGTAATTTTACTGTCGATAAAGCCCTTTGTATTCTATTCATATCATCTTTTTCGCTTTTTCGAAAGTTCACGCGGACAAACAAGATAAGCATCGGGGTTTTCCTATCGTCGTATATATGTTCGGGATACATGTAACTGTAAAATTTGTTGAGAACAGTGTGACTGGCAAAACCTATTCATTTGTCTTCTCTATGATTGTGTTCTATATTGTGTTTTTTTTTAATTAAGTTCCCAGGAAGAATGCCTTCTAGTGATTAGGGAGAAACTTTAGTATAGCTGCCTAATTAAGGCGTCTATATGGATCTTTTCCTCCTAATCCATTAAATCAAGGAATCTATGCTGTTTAAATTTGATCCAACGGTTGTAAATAGAAACCTACTTTAAAAGTTATAATAACTTCAGTTGCACCGACATGCCCAAAGACAAATCCAAGTCATCCCAATATGATGTTTTCAATCTGCCTTTTACGTTGCGGTTAACTATACTTATATTATGAAATTCCAACAAATAATTGTTAAATATTTTCACTTTTCAATAAAAAACAGCATTATATAACTGTTTTTGTTTCTTTTGCCTGAATTGTTCACCGTATTTTTTTTAATGTTACAGAATTATACATGCACGCATTTTCCATAGATAGTTTTCTGCCTTTGTGATAACTAGAAGTTACCTTCCCATTGTCAGTTAAATCCAGGTACATTTTTGTTTCCTTCCCCAACAATTTACTAAAAATTCCAACAATAAAAAGCAATTTGCCAAATCCTGGATACACATGAAACAAATTACTAGCAAATAATAAATTAAAAAAACCACTGTGTAAAATATTTTTTCAATATAAATGACAACTAAATAGACAAATCCCCACTAGACATAACAAACAACAGAGATAAGACTAAAGAGACGAAGATAGACTGACTGACACGAAGCAAGAACATATTAAATTCCTAAGCAATAGAAATTGACACCTCATTCTGGTCTTCCTGAATCTCATCATGAAGTCTTATGTGGACTTATGTTTTTGACTTCCACCAAGTCATTTCATGCACCACCTTGTAAAATTGCTTATGGAAATTCATCTCCATTGGAATATGATCCTCTCCTGATTGTCTTTGTGGGGATCCGAGAGATCATTTAATCGGGTCCGTTCATCATACATCATGCCGTTAAAAATCATTTTAAATTAAATATAAATAGTACCTAACCGCACGATATACAATGAATAGATATGATTAATTGATCCTTGGATCTCCACAAAGAATATCCAGAGAGAATCCTTGTCCATCTCCATTTGCATGGTTGTATAAAAAAATAAAACAAAAAGTCTCATCCATGATTCGTATTTAGCTAATGTTTTGAATGATGGTCTTTTTTTTTTTTTTTTAATTTTTTAATTTTTGAACAAATGATATTATCTACATTAAGAAGAGGAGGTGAACTTAGCCTCATAATGGGTGGGTTGACAATAATGTAGTTCAAATTTGTCTTTGAATAAAATCAAAACCTCTCATTTACGAATGAATGATGGTCTATAAAAAGTAACATAGAAAATGCACGATTCAAATCATCAAACAATGTTGTAGAATATTAGAAAAATAAGAAGGTAAAACGAGACCGTATAATAAACAAAATAGTTATAAAAAAAGTAGTAGTTTATTTTATAAAACAAAATAGGTACAACGAGACCGTCTAAAGTGGGAAAGGTCAAACGATGCCGTTTGATTTTTCATCTTATTTAATAAAAAAGTTTTCGGTTCTTTATATTTTTTAAGCTAATTAAAATCTTAAAATCATCTTCAATCCTTGGGTTAGTTTAAAAATTTTAACCCAATAAATTTAGGTTTTAACTCAGAAACAGTTTTTCTTCTCCAATCATTATAGGTTAAATTTTTAGCCCAAGATTATTAAAAAATGAATTTAGGATAATTTTTTTCTTAAAGTAAATTAAAAAAAATTATGTAAACTATCATAAATTAATTTAATGAATATTTATAAATATTTATATTCTGATAAATATTGAAAAAACACTAAACCGACACCATGAAACTCATGAAACACTATAAAAAAATATGAAACACATAAAAGATTTTTTTTTAATTACTTTAGCCGTTGGATTTAAATTTGGTCCATTAGATCTTTTTTTTTTATCATTAGATTTGATCATATTAGATCTTAGTCGTTAGATTCAATGAATTTATAAATATAAAACTAAAAAAAAAATACACATATATGGTGGCCCAACCCCACCAACTGAGGAGGAATTATGGCATAAATTTGTCTCAGAAAGGAGTTTTGAGTTAAAACTTATAAAGAAATTTTATTTGAACCTATAAAACCTCTCTCTATAGTCAACTTAAACTTTGAATGTGAATTGTCCTTTTTACTCTATTACATAATTACCACTAACTACAAGATGAAATTAACAATAAACTAAAATTTATAAATAAACCCACATCTAATAATCAAACCCTACCATCATGAAATCTTTATCCTACATTCATTCTAACTAAAACCTAAGACGCTTTCATAGAGAAAAACAAGATTTTTTGAACGATGGATGGTAATTTAGAAATTTTGAATCCTCCAACTAAAGTATGAATCGATTTTTGCAATTTTTTTTTTTTCGTTTGATTTCAATTTTTATTAGGATTTAGGAACAAAATCAGCACATTTTCTAAAGCATAATTACTAGCAGAAACATATACTATGGCATTGCATAGTAACTTGTGTGAATGTCACACTTTCTTCTCATTTCATTTGTGCGAATGGCATTGCATAGCAACACTATAGCTACTGTTCTTGAATTTAAAGGTGTTGAGATCCTTCTATCCGGTGAAACAGATGTGTGTAGTCTCCAAAAGCTTCCCCTTCTTTCTCTTGTTTCAATCAATATTGTTTTTCATAGTTTAATTCGGTTGTTTGGATGTCAAAAATGTTTTGATTTCATTAAAATATAGGAACGTGAGGTTCAAGTAGGTTCAGAGCATGAAAAAATATGCCTTCAATTTTATAGTTGAAATTTTTTTATCCTGATTATGATAATTAAAACATAATCTTGTTTTGATTACAAGATTATTAGGCACCCTTATCGTCATTTAATGGGAAGAAACTGTGCCTCTACTTCTCTGCAAATTGGTGTCGACCTTGCAATTACCCCTTGGCATTGCAAGAACGTGACTTTATGAAATGCTTAGAGTGGAAGGCAAAGAGTTTAAGATAATCTTTGTCTCTTTCAGTTGTGATGAGGTAAAAAATAAACACTTCAACTGCATGCCATGGTTGACATTGAACGCATGTTATTTTTCATAAAAGATTGAGCGACATCTACCTCATATAATGAGTTGTAGAATGCTGATTTTAGGTCTTTATTTTCTAAATGGGTGTAAATATAAATTTATATATTGAGAATTTAATTAAAAGTAATATGGGTGTAAAAAGTAAGTTGGATGTAGAAAGAGGGGTCATATGGGTTTAAGTAAAATGTCCCGAACCTTTCTTTAAGTATTATAGCAAGTTGAGATAAGTTTAGAACCTAAAATTGAAGTTTATTCCGGAGATTGGAATAGGTCTAATGATTTAAGGAAAGGATTAAGTACGTCTTGAAGCCAGGTGTAAAATATATAAAACGAGGGACCATAGGTGCAAAAATCCACCGTCTGAAGGTACTGCTGTAAATTCCTTTCTTCTGGTTTTTTAACTTTCAGTCAGAACTATAACAAAATTTTCTTTATTAGGTCCAACCATTCGCGCGATCTCGATCCAGACGCAGCGTTTCACCATTCCCGCGACCTTCAACTCCGAGTCAGTTATTCCTCACTCTGCTCACAAAAACCTCGATTCCGCAGGTTCAGGGTTTCAGATCTCACACTCGTGGAGGTAAATTCCCAATTCCGTGCTTCAGTTTCTCTATTTTACTGTTTGGATGCTCGGAAAGCTGGGAAAGGGAAAAGATAATTGGGGGTTTGATGTGGGGTTTCAATTGAATTTCGCATCAATTAGGCAAATTAGCAATGGCGAAATTTGTGTGATGTGGATTATCTAATGGAGTAGGCATTTGAGAATTGGAGTGGATTTCTGCGGTTTCAGGTGGTTATGCTATTCTAGAATTCGAATTTTGGGAATTTTAGGGTTTTGGAAGAATGCATGCGAAAGCGGCACAATCGTCGTTTCGGGACCGAACGCACGAGTTTCAGAGTGTAGCGGAGAGGCTAAAGAAGTCGTTCTCATCAGGGCCGGCGCAGAATGGGCCGAGTAGTGGATTGAAATCGAAATCCGAGGAGCAGCGTTCTGCGGTTGCTATTCAGTCGGAGTTCAATAAGAGGGCCTCCAAAATCGGGTATGGGATACATCAGACGTCGCAGAAACTTGGAAAGCTGACAAAGTGTGAGTTATTGATGATTGATTGTATAATTGTAATGTTATTGCTTTTCTTGTTTCAGTTTGATATTGAAAAACAATGCTAATTGATATACGATATACGTGGTGTGTAATTCTTGTTAATGTCCTGGTGCAGCATGTCGCTCTCGAGATTTGTGTTGGTTGTCATGATAATATTGTTGTTTCAGACATTGAAGCATCATAAGATAATCTTGTGTAACAATTGTAAAGAAGAACCAATAGCTTTTCCCATATCAACTCTGCACCTACATTATAGTGATAATCCGCACTCAAAGTTGCTAAACCCTACCTCTTATCCCTCATGGTGTCGCTACTATTTTCAATCGTCTGATACCATACTTCATTCGCTCCACTGCACGTTGTGGATGATGATTAAATTAGATATAACAATTATTATCGGATTTCTTTCTTCTTTAAAGTGTGAATGCTTGGAATGGCTTAGGATTGTTTTAATTTTGGTGGCTTTTGTTTCTATGGCTATAAATAATCAGGTTTTAGAGACAATCATGTATTTATTCTAATGTATCTGTCTTGTCATGTAGTGGCAAAGAGGACTTCCGTGTTTGACGATCCTACAAGGGAAATTCAGGAGCTGACAGCAGTTATCAAGCAAGATATTACTGCCCTTAACTCTGCAGTGGTGGACCTTCAGCATCTATCTAACTCCAGAAATCAAAGTGGGAATATTTCTAGTGACACGAGTAGTCATTCAACCACAGTTGTTGATGACCTGAAAAATCGGCTGATGAGCGCCACAAAAGAGTTTAAAGAAGTGCTCACCATGAGAACTGAGGTAAGACCTAATGTTGCTGAATAATTATTTCCTGTCAAGTTTGTTAGGCTTGTCCTCTTAGTATGAAAGTGTTCTACTGTTGCTACTCTTTAAGTTATTTTCTAAGACTAATGAATCTTTTGGTTGGTTTCATGAAGAATTTGAAGGTTCATGAGAATAGAAGACAATTGTTTTCTGCAACTGCATCTAAGGATGCTGCAAATCCCTTTGTTCGTCAACGTCCACTGGCTGCCAGGTCAGCTGCTAGTTCTTCAAGTGCTTCTCCTCCTCCATGGGCTGGATCACCCTCTTCATCACAGGCGTTCCCCAAGTAAGGGAGTATTTTTTTGGTTCTTGTTGTTAATTATGGATGATTGGTACCGGATGATTATATTGCAACCCGTTAAGTGTATGAGTAGCTATATTTGTCATATATAAATTGTCATAGGGGACGTCTATGTATCTTTGATACTGGGAGAGTCATCTTGCACTCCTCCCTAGTGAAAAAAATAATGGAAGGAAGAGTGCAAGATGTCATTCTGGAGTGCTTAATAACAGTTCCCTTGATAAATCCAGGTAAAATTTTGCACTAAAAATTCTGGTTTATTTTCTCTAAAATTAGCATTTAGTGTTGCTGCTGCTTGCACGATTTCTCTTCTTGAACATCTTGAAAATAACAGGCCCCTTTCCTTTGTCTCTCCCTTTTCTTCGTTATGATGTTAAATAATCTGGAGGATCAGTTATCTGAGTCAGTTTACAGTATTGACTTCTAAACTTTTGCATTCTTTCATAGTGAATCCTAGAATTGAAGATGCTCTTCTGAATATTTTAATCTTCAAACTTTTGATTGTGATATATTTCTGTCATGTGGTCTTTAACTTAATATGGAGACAAAATTTGAGCTTGTATCATAGTGAAACATTTATTGGTTTCTGATTCTACAGGAAGCAGATGGATGGGGAGAGTCAGCCATTGCTCCAGCAGCAACAGGAGCTGGTTCCGGTGCAAGACAGTTACATGCAAAGCAGAGCTGAAGCTTTGCAAAATGTTGAATCCACTATTCATGAGTTGAGCAATATTTTCAACCAGCTTGCGACCTTGGTTTCCCAGCAAGGGGAGGTTGCGATAAGGTTTTACTCTAATTCGCGTATCTTCCTTTGAATTCAGTTGGTAGTGCTAAGCAGACAGTGCTAAATGCTAATAATAGATCACTATTTTTTAGTGCCTTACACACTTGCTTTTTTATTGTTACTGGCAAAGCATTGCACAAGCTGGGCAAAACTAAAAATCATGTTCAAACACAAGCTGGGCAAGAAGCTAATTATCCAATATTAAGCACCATTTAACCCCATGAAATAATTATATATATAATTGAACAAACTAGAGTAACAAATTGTTCTTGACCATGGGTAAAGCATTGCATGATAAAACGGTTCGTCTCTAATGGTGGTTCAAACATTTTTACGATAAGATGGGTAGCTAAGCTTATCAACCAAATTTCTGTGCATTCGGTATGATCCCGACATCTGCCCGTAGTTTTCGTTTGGTTCTAAGTTTTCTGGTCAGGCAGTATGTGTTTTGAAGTTTGTGGAAATTGTTAATCTTGAGGGTTGTAGGGTCAAATCCTATATCTCTGCGCTATGTGGTGCCTATGCATCTGTTCAGTGTTTGGTCTTGGATTTTCAAAATTTAATTTTGATGCTGGTATTTCTTCTGGCAGAATTGATGAAAACATGGAAGACACATTAGCGAACGTAGAGGGCGCACAAGGGGCATTGCTCAAGTATCTGAATAGCATATCATCTAACAGGTGGCTGATGATCAAGATATTCTTTATACTAATATTTTTCCTCATGGTTTTCCTATTTTTTGTGGCATAGTCATTTGCAGAGAGAGAGAGAGAGAGAGAGAGAGAGAGAGAGAGCTGAAAAGGAAGAAAATGACAATGATTTTTAGTAAGTTACTGTCGATAGAGCCCTTTGCATTCTATTCACGTCTCTTTTTGCTTCTTCGAATGTTCACGCGGGCATAAACAAGATAAGTACGGGGGTTTTCCTATTGTAGTATATGTGTTGGGGATACATGTAACTGTAAAATTTGTTGAGAACATTGTGATCTGCTCCGTGAGTCTGATCGTTTTTGTATTGTGCTTTCTTAATGAAGTAGTGATTAGGGATAAACTTTAGTAGGGCTGCCTGTTTACCGACGTGCACAAAGACAAATCCAAGTCATCCGAATATGATGTTTTCAGTCTCTCTTGTATGTTGCGTTTAACTGCATTTATATTATGAAATTCAGATTTTTTTATTTTTTTATTTTTAATTTTACAGAATTACACACGCATACATTTTTTATAGATAGTAGTTTTCTGCCTTTTTGACAACTAAAAATTACCTTGCCATTCTAAGTTTAATCCAAGTAGTGTTTGTATTGAGGCGTGTCAAACTTAAAGTATGAAAATTACAACTCAATATCATAAATTATTTTCTTACAACCTGACCACAGAAGCACCTGTTAGTTGGTAAATGTCACATTTTTGCTATTTTCCCCAACAATTTACTAAATATTCCAACAACAAAAAACTACCAAATCCTATATACGCATGAAAAAAATTTACTAGCAAATAATAAATAAGAAAACTACTATGTAAACTTTTTCCCATCAAAGGACAACTAAACAAACTGATTCCACCACACAGAACAAATAACTAAGACCAGACTGAAAATAACATATAAAAAATTTAAGCATCAAACCTGTTCTGATATCAAGTTGAAAATACACATAAAAAAGTAGTAAACGGACTAATAAACCGAACAACAAACCAACTATAAATAAATTCATTAACGATTATATAATTTTATGTAAGCATGACAATACCAAAAGACCCAAAATAAAAACTTTACGTTACTAAAATCACAAATACAATGAAGTAGGAGGACGAATCAGTAAAAACAAAAAACACGAGCCAGCTATATAAGCTCCTCATTGGGTACTCCATTACGTTATCCAGACCTTAATTTAGCCCTACTTTTGGAAACGTAACCAACCTCCCTCCTCCCTCTTCATCTTCCCAAATTTCCATATCTCCCTCTCCTCCTATATAATCCAAATCCCTAATTCACCATTCCCAATCTCCTCTAGACCCTAATTCCCCTTTCACAATCCCCCCAAATCTCCGATCTCGATTTTTCCTGAGCGTCTGTGAATTTTTTTATCGTCGATTGAAAAACAACGAAATCTTCTTCCCTGCGCGATTTCTCGAGAGAATGGTTGGCGGTGGAGGCAGGAGAGACGAGGGCTCGCTCGTCATCAACAACACGAACGTGTTCGCGGCGCTCGAGACTCTGAGGAAGAAGAAGAAGTCCGATAAGGATCGCAAGAGCAAAGGGTCGTCCAAGGCGGCGCAGCCCAAGGCGCCGGAGCCGCAGGTGTTCTGGGCGCCGGCTCCTTTGAACACGAAATCGTGGGCCGATGTTGACGACGAAGATGATGATGATTATTACGCCACCACGGCTCCGCCTCAGGCTGCTTGGGGATCGTCGGAGCCGCAAAAGAGTAAGGAGAAGCCAAATGTAGAGGTCAGAACTGAAATTCGATTTTTTTTTTGTTTCGATTTCGATGTGTGTTATCTGAATTTTGTATTTTTATTCGATTGTTTGTTTGAATTTTTTTCCTTGAATTTTTTTTTTTTTTTTTGATAGAAGGAATTGGACCGATGAATATAGATAGTCTAGTTGGGTATTGATCTTACTCTAGGAGTTGCAGAGACGCTAAGTTTGTGATGGGAAATCGAACATTGTTTGTTGGTTGAGGGAATTATCCGAGTTAGTTTGGCTTGTTGATTGTTCAAGGAGGAAGTTAGTGGAGGTGCATTGGAAAGATTTGTTATTTCAATATAAGTGTTGGTTTCCGGTGGATAACAAAGTAGTGGCTGCACCGAATGCAGAAGCGAAGGTACAATTCGGTGTCATGTAGAAAAGTCATTAGTTGTCATTGTAACATAGGAGATACAATGTGTCTTTGAAAAAGTGAGGGTCTGTAGATGTATATGTACTTGTACGATGTAGTTATGGTTGATTCAAAGTTGGGAAATGGGAAAAATAGTTGGAATGGAAGGCCGAAATTTAGCCAATTATGCTGCATAAAATATCTATTAGGACCGCCCCTTTGCATGTTCAGAGATTATTTGTACAACTTTCTTTGTCTGATGACCTTTTATGCGACTATGTAAATTTATATGGTTATGCATTTGTCAGAGCATTGAGGGCAATGACCGGAACAGAGTTATTATAACGGCTTGTTGATTTGTGATTACAGGAAAGTGAGAGTGAAGAAGATATTCTTGATGAAGGTGATGATGATGCAGAGGAAGAGCATGATCACGAACTGGAGGTGCATGTAAACCTGGAGCCAGTGGTGAAGAAGCCTGCTTATGTTCCTGCGCCACCTAAAGAGGCAGAAAAGCAACTTTCAAAAAAGGAAAGAAAGAAAAAAGAACTTGCAGAACTTGAGGCTCTTCTTGCTGATTTTGGAGTCGCCCCAAAGGAGAGTGATAGTCAAGATGAATCACAAGGTAATTGTGAACAATTATTTCAGATAAATTCTGTTATAGTGATTATGCATCTGAAATTCTGTGTAAAGAAAGAATAAAAGCTGAATCTTATTCATTTCATCATGTCAATAATGAATTGAAATTTGGGATTGGAGATAACATAGATGCGAAGGAGATGGTTAAAATTTTCCATGTACACTTTAAGCGTTCATATATGCACATGGTACTCCATTTAACCGAGTATTCTTGTTCAAATGTATCAATCACCGCTCATATCGATTGCAAAATAAGCTTAGAATCAAATGACAAACTTATGTTTGAAAGTCAATTCCTTGTATTTGTTTATTTATATCTGTAATTATTGCAGAACTTGAAGTCTTGGTTTTATTTATTTACCTATTGAGAGCCTCTATTGCAAGGTATCTGGATATGGTTTCTTTGGTGCCATCTCATATTCAATATCATCTAGCCAACAACCATCATTATGTTGCATTTGCAGGTGTTGCACAAGAAAAGGATAATGCACCAGATGGAGATGGAGAAAAGAAGGAAAATCAATCTGCAGAGTCCAAGAGCGCCAAGAAGAAGAAAAAGAAAGATAAAGCTTCCAAGGAGGTGAAAGAATCGCAGGATCAGCCAAACAACTCAGGGGCTACTAATGGTCCGAGTGAAGTTACTGGAGCTGAACAAGTGGAGGAGGATACATCGAATATTGATGTGAAGGAGCGATTAAAGAAGGTTGTATCTGGGAAGAAGAAGAAATCTAGTAAAGAGTTGGATGCTGCAGCAAAAGCTGCTGCTCAAGAGGCTGCTGCTAGGAGAGCACGGCTTGCTGCAGCTAAGAAGAAAGAGAAGAATCATTACAACCAGCAACCTGTCCGGTAAAAAGCCCAAATTTTGTTCAACATTGGTACATATGAACATGTAATTTCTCTTTGTTCATATGACGGAAGTTATGCGAAATAAAGAGTTGTGGCTCTGGGTTTAAATTTAATTGCGAGGTGGACTTATAGGAAGTTATCGTTTTTGGCTGTTGCCGATCATTTTTTGTTGCTCGGTTGTCATGGGACGTATGGAATTTGCCAGTTTTGCTCATTGGATATTTGTTCCTTGGAGAGTGGGTTTTAAATTGATAGATGTCCTGTAATGTAGTTGTTCCTCCATGTTGTTGCTGTCACAAACTTCTTGTGTGTGAAATTCTATGAATGGACACCATGAGAAATTATTGCATTTCTTCTGGTGTGCGAGTTGCTTATTGAAGAGCTTGATAATCCCAGCCCCGGTCCAAAATTAAGGGATAAAAACAGGGGGCGAAGTGCATTAAGGACAAAACGGGAGTTTTGTCAATGTACTGTTGAAAAAGCTTACATAGAACGAGTTTATTGTTGTCGTGACATCATAATTCAATAATACATTTTTTACTCTGGACGTCATGTGACAGTGAACACTTTTTTTTGGTAAGTCGTTCTCTTATCAATGTGGTGCTGCAGATCAATTAAAACTTTGTAATTTGAGTAGCTTTGTACTGATTCGTTGGGTGAACTCTTGTACTTGTATTAAAATGCTTTTACCAGAAGCGTTTTCAATTTTCAGTAATGGCAATGGTGTCTTGGAATTATCATAATTTATTTTCAAAGAGTGATATTTATTGGTAATTTGGTAATGTATGAGACTTGAGGGGGACTGTTTCTTGTTCAACCTGGTACACCATCGCTGGTTAAGGGCATTTCTGACATTTCAGGTGCTCCACCGTGGCATTTCTGACTGTTTCTTATTCCTTCCCTCCCTCCCCAGTTGTCTTCTCCATGAAGAAGCAGAAAAACTAGACACAACAAATAAACCGGCAATTCAAGCAAGCATAAAAAAAAAAAAGCAAGCAACCCTTCTCCCTCCTCTCTCTCTCTCTCTCTCTCTCTCTCTCTCTCTCTCAAGCAACACTGAAAGTCTCAAACCAAAGGAAGCAAGCAATGCCTGTGAAATGTTCCATTTCGTCACTCCAGGTTCGATTGTCTTCAAACTATTGCGTTTCATTTCCGAAAACTGAAAACTTGAATACAAAATATTAAATTCTGCATTTTTCGGGTTCGAAACCAGCAGTGAAAGAACACGTTTGGCTTTAGAGTAGCTCTGTTAACTGTAGGCATTTGGTTCTCTGCTGCTCCTGAGTGAGAGTGACGACCAGTTTTAGGGCTGTTATTTTTTATCAATTAGTGAATTATTCAAATTAAAATTCGCAATTTTAAGGGCTTTTCGGGTGTTGGAGGAGGAAATTGGTATGTATGTTTGATTGATGAATGATTTATTATTCGAATTACTGGCCACTGTGATTGTTTACTTGGAAAATGTCTTAGTATTACTCTGCTAACAAGTAACTGAAATGTCCATTGGTAACGATTAGCTTTCGGTGTTTCCAAGTCCTTTATCATAACATTTACTCTCTATCGATTTGATGATTGTTTTGGTTTGGTGTGGATTTTTAATTGAAAATCAACATCTGTTTCCATAGGGTTAAACCGTCTTGGTGCTTCGTGATTTTCTGATTTGTTAGGGGACTAAGAGCTGCTTCTTGGCTCCTGGCCGATGACTTGCAATTGGATGCTGTTTCTTAAGGGAAGATAATGAGCGGAAAACTCCACTGCCCATTTCTTGGGGTTTCACTACACAGCTCTTTAAATGGTAGAAACAATGGAAATTTCATTTGTTGGGGCAGAGGGCGTACGGGAAAAAGGGCTGCTCGCAGGTGTGTATGTGAAAAGCAGAACTTTTGGATTACTCAAGCGATTAAGGTTTCACATTTTTGGGGAAAAAATGTGGAATTATTAAGGAGAACCTTCGAGCTAAAAAATGGGATGAAGGTGCAATGTGTTAAAGAGCCCTTTTCTCGAATCAAGGCTCTGACGTGGTCTTTGTCTCCTCTGTTGGAAGAGGGGTTGCTTTTAATTAGGTGCTCTGTATTTTTGGCCACCATATCCGGTGTATGCTTATTGGTATGGTATGGGCAATTAAAAGCCAAGGGTTTTATTGAAGCCAAGCTTTTGCCTTCTGTTTGTTCAGTACTCAGTGAATATATTCAGCGTGAAGTTGTTTTTAGTAAGGTTCGGAGGTTATCACCTTTGAGCGTCACACTGGAGTCTTGTTCAATTGGGCCTCATAATGAGGAATTTTCTTGTGGTGAGGTCCCATCTATGAAACTTCGGCTTCGTCCTTTTGCAAGTCTGAGGAGGGGAAGGATTGTGGTTGATGCAGTTTTGTTGCATCCAACAGTCTTGGTTGCACAGAAGAAGGATTATTCTTGGTTAGGGATACCCTCAAATGAAGGTGGTCTACAGAGGCACTTATCTAACGAAGAGGGAATTGATCATCGAACCAAAGTCCGAAGGCTTGCTAGAGAAGCAGCAGCTGCTTGCTGGGAAAGAGAAAGAGATGAAGCGGCAAAAAAAGCTGCAGAGATGGGATACATTGTTACTGACAAGGGTTCTAGTCCTGCAAATGTAAATGACTCGAAGGAAGGTGATAGCCATTCAGTAGATTTAACAAGTTCTGAGTCATTTCCGTGCATGGATGACAAGATGCACTGGAGGGATCATTGCATGGACACAGGTGTTGATTATGAAATAAAGCATGCAGATTTGGACAAATCATTGGGTGTCAAAATTCCTGGGTCAGGCTTAAATTTTGGTCCAGAGTGATCAAGGGGCCTAAAAAGCACAAATTTAAAAGGAAGGGTTATGGGAGTGATATCTCTACATCCGGTATTACTGCCAAAAGAAGAATTCTCGGGTACAGTGCAGCAAGGGCACTTGCATATTTTCAGGATCTATTTCATCGGAAATCTGAGCCTTCACAGTCATCTGGGGGTTATGATGTGATGAACCTTGACACCTATTTGTTGAACAATGTGGCTGATACTAATGCTGACGCTTCTATCACAAGTACGGGTGAAAAAACTGTAAGTGACGACAACCACAATGGAGATTCAGCAGACCATCCTCTTAAAGAAAATGAGAACGTCAACAGTCATTTAAGTAGTTCTAATTTCATAGAAGATCTACTTCCTATGACTTTAGATAGGTCTACTGGAGATGGGACATCCAGTAAAACTTTCCCATCCACTGAAAATGTTGCAGGAGCTAATACCAAAAGAGGTAACGTAAAAGAGGATTTTGGAGTTGATGATGTAAATAAGCATACTGATGATGAGATATCAGAGGGGCAAAGTGGTCAGATGACGCAGAATTCAAATTTTGCCACATACGATCAAGTTCCTATCTGGCCCCTAAGCCTGAAATTAGGCTTGTCCTCCTTTTCTAGATATGCAGCAGAGCCATTAGCCTTTCTCTCTGGACCCATTCAAAAGCTGATATCTATGGGCCCCAGAGTTGGAGATATTGTTGCAGAACTTGTTGACGGGGTAGGTGTTGTGCAGTCTGAAGGCTTTGAGAAGATGCTTCCAGTTACACTAGATTCTGTTCATTTCAAAGGAGGAACATTGATGCTACTTGCATATGGCGACAGGGAACCTCGGTAGAGCCACTTCTGTTATATATTTTCTCGTTTTACTCTTTATAATAAGTAAAAACATAATTCTTTTGCTGGCTCTTGTCATAAAAATGATTTACTTATGTGGCGGAGCTGGCTGCCCTTTTAACTGTTGTGCTCAGTTTTACATAGAAAAACTTCTTCTTGTTGTGATTTTGATGTACTGGATAGAGGTCTAACTATACTAATTAGGATCATTCATCTTTTAGGATATATTTTAAGATGTTTCCTTGTGGAAAATATATATTCTGTGTTTAATGATAATGCATCATCTTATGCAAGAAAGGTTTATGACAAGATAAATTTTGCATTAAGCTGAGCATTTACGATTTTTGTATACAATGTTTATAGAGAGATGGAGAATGTCGATGGACATGTGAAGTTTCAAAATCTCTATGGTCAGGCTCACGTTCAAGTTAGTGGAAACTGTAAGATGTGGAGATCTGATAACATATCTGAAGATGGTGGCTGGTTGTCTACAGATGTTTTTCTTGACATTGTTGAACAGAAATGGCATGCCAACTTAAAAGTTGCCAACTTTTTTGTTCCGGTAAGGGAGACACTACAAAATAAAATGACACTTAATTGAGATTATCAACACCTTTGTGTTTCCAATCTGAGGTTACAAAGTTGGTTCACGTGCCTTGTGTGCTGGTTGTCTTTTCTTCTGCAGCTTTTTGAAAGGATCTTAGAAATTCCAATAATTTGGTCCAAAGGAAGAGCCACTGGTGAGGTGCTTCTCGAACTCCAATGTATACTCTATATTTTTTCTATTATAAAATTTTATAGTGGCACATCTCCAGTTTGTGCCCTGAATGGGTTATACTGTTTCTGTTTCTGAAGTAATTACATGAATTCGTTCTTTGTGGCAATTTCTGCTTGTTGATTATTCCTATTTTTTAATGTTATATAAAATTGTGTGTATCTGAAATCTCAAGATGTCACATTTCAACAGTATTTTCTCTTTTGACATTACTGTTGGAGAAAAAAAAGTGTCATTGTTATTATATTTTGTTTGTTTTAAGATATATATGTACTTTCACTTTTTCAGGTTCACTTGTGCATGTCAAATGGAGAAACATTTCCAAATCTTCATGGACAGCTTGATGCGACAGGGTTGGCTTTTCAAACAATTGATGCGCCATCATCATTTTCTGTATGTCTCGGTTATACGTTTTTGTTTTATTTTTTAAACCTTTATGGATACAGTATGCTTGTTTGCGTGGATGTTCCTTCCCCCTTCAAATAGACTTGGTAGGTTGCCTAGAAAAGGAACTACTTCCCGTGTCAATATATTACGACAAACTGAATCTGTCCAGACTCCAAATACTTTCGCTTAATGGAGTGTCTTGTGATGCAGTTTGCACGATCTGCCAGGGCATTGGTCTTTTATAATAATACTTGTCGTCTTGCATGTTACTGTTTCTAACAGCACATTATGCAAAACATGATAACTTTATGGTTCTCTGATCATGCAACAGGTTTATGGTTGAAACCATCCCTCATGTTTATTGTCTGTCATGTTGTCCTTGAAATCTGAAAAGTTGTTCTTGTTCTGTGCCCTGCGTCTCTTTTATGCAGGATGTTTCAGCAAGCTTATGTTTCCGTGGCCAAAGAATATTCTTACACAATGCAAGTGGCTGGTTTGGTCATATTCCCTTGGAAGCTTCTGGAGATTTTGGCATTCATCC